AATTTTTGGATCAAAGAAAGGTATCTCAGCACACACCGCCAGTCGATTACAGCGATGGACAAGGTTGCTCCTGGGTTATGACTTCATCATGAAATATTTCTAAACTGATTCTATCAGACAGGCAGACGCTCTATCGAGATTAATCGATCAAGACAGGCGCGAACCCGAAGACGCAATCAGTGCCGCAATCGCGGCTGAAACAGATGCTAGTTATATGGTGCATGATCCCAAGAGAGTTCAGAAAAGCAAGATACATGATATACTGCTGCAAAATGTCATGACCTACACAAGACATTGCTGGACAAGGAAATGTCCAAAAAAAGAACTTGTTCAATTTTACACGCGGCGAGATTCTTTGCCGGAAAGTGGCTCCTGTCTGTACTTTGCCGATCGCATCATCATATCATAAGTCCTGCGGAAACGCGTTCTAAGGCGATTCCATAAAGGTAATCCAGCAAGTGCCCGAATAAAGGCATTATTTCGGAGCTAACTCTTTTGGCCAAAAGTTGACAACGATCTAAAGGACATTGGTCGTATCTGTTCAAGACGCGCTTATTCTTACAAGCTGCCGGAACGCACGACACTGCAGTATTGGGCCGCGCCAGAATCACGATGGTCACGACTTCAGGTGAATATTGCAGGATCGGTTGAAGAGATTTCGTTCCTTATGATTGTCTATGTTTGTAGCAAGTGCCCGGAAGTAACCACGATGCAAAACACGTCAACGACGAATACACTACACGCACTGAGACGTACTTTCAGCCAGCATGGTCTACCAGAAACCATTGTGTCGGATAACGGGCAGCAATTCACGTCTTATCAGTTTGCTGAGTTTTGTGCGCGCAATGGAATCCAACACCTGAAAACTGTACCTTATCGCCCGCAATCTAATGGACACGCCAAGCAAATTGTGAATACTATGAAAGGAGCGCTGTTGCGATCTAAAGAGGAACGTTCGCTAGAAGAAAAGCTACAGACATTCCTACTGGATTATCGCGATGCCCCGAATCCAGATGCGCCAGATGGTAAGACACCTAAAGAAATACTTATGGTCCGAAGACTGAGAAGAATCTTGGAGTTACTGACCCCTATACGCCAGCCGATGTGTTGCACGAATCCCGTAATAAAAACCCAGTACAGTAGGTGGTATGAAGCATGGCGCAGAGATTGTGAAGTCGGAGCCCAGATGTTTGTCATTTTTTAGCAGGGGGCAAGATCAAATGGATACCCGGAGTCGTCGTGCGGCGCCGTGGTCAAGTGACGTTTGAGATCCGTTTCGGTACACAGGTATGGAGCCACCATGCCAATCAGATGACGCCGCGCTACTTACAGAACCCCGTTATATTTTATCCCAAGGGGCCTGATTTTACCCAAATATTAAAAAATGGCAAACAGAGGGATTCTGCCAGAAAATGCACGCAGCTTCTGGAAACCTCAGAAAATGGAACACAGAGGAGACCAAAAAGAAGAGAATTTATTCAGCCATTCCAAGTGGACCCCCGACGAAACAGGTAGCTCGTTGGGCTGAGCACTTTCAAGAGCAGTTCAGTTGGACCTGTTGCTTCGTACCCCTGCCCACTTTGGCGGTACAGGTTGAGCCGTGGTCAGGTAGTTTAAAGGTTCTGCCAGAGGCTGAGGTCTGAAGCGCGATCACAGCCATAATCACTTCCGAGTTGCTGGCACGGATTCCATCGCAAACGCATTAGTTAAGGATGATGGTGAGGTGCTGTGAAAAGCACTGACATCCCTATTTGAACAGGTCTGGAAGGAAGTGACTCTCCCGACTAACTGCAGTGAACCGCTTATGGAGGCAATATACAGAGACAGTCGCGCCGACTGTGTTAAGCACAAGGATATTAGCTTAACGCCGGTTGTGACAAAAGCATTACTCTCAATTTTCGTTCGTCGCTTCACTGCGGAAAAGGAATTCCGGATCAGGGAAGAGCAGACAGATTTCCGCCCAGGACGGGGCTGTATAGACAACACTCACTCTGCGGCAGATGCTAGAGCAGCGCTACACGTACCGTAGACCGAGAACGTCTGTTTTCCGACTACAAGTGTGTTCGACTCAATATTGATCAATACTGTACGAGATACCTGTGCGGGAAGGTGTTCGTATGAAGTATGTGTACATGCTATGTGCCCTTTACAAGAACACCAGAGGACGAATCAGGATACCCAGTGATTCATCAAAGATCATTCCGACAACTAGTGGCGTTCGTCAGTTGCTCAATTTTCACATTGTTGTTCAATTTAATCGTGGACTCCATCATGAAGTGGTTGTTTGCGAAAGCGTATGATGCAGGCATTGGGGTACTGTCTGATGGAAAGCTGGTTGAGCTTGATAATGTGGACGATATTGTCTTGCTACTTAACGTGGGGCGGCCCATTCAACCCTGATTACACTCTCTAGGGTTGTCCCATCGGTTTTCATGCGTCTCGCATCTACAAAGTGTAAGGTGTAGTCACAGGATCACGCGCCACTTGAGGACCCCTTACTCATGACAACGGGAAACTCGAGATAGCAGCTTGGCAGGCGCATTAGCAACGATGGGCGAAAAGCAACCGAAGTCAGTCCATGTATTGCAAAAGCCAGAACTGTCTTCTTGAATCTGTATTATCTGTTGCCTCAGAAGGTGGTTTCCCTCGGTGTGAAAAGCCGTGTTTACAATGCCAGTGAGGTCCGTTTTATCCTATGGGAGTGAAAGTTGGCCCCTTCGATCTGAGGACCTGCGGCGCATCCAAGTCCTCGGTCATCGCTGCCTGCGAAGCATTGCTGGCATCGGATGGCACCAGCATGTCCGCGACCATGATGCACGTAGTTCTAGGCAGTGATAATCAAGCTAGTTCCTTAGAACAGATAGCACTGACGTTGCGTTGGCTTTGGCACGTACTACGTATGCCCGGTCACCCCTTACCGAGGAGTGCCTTGGTTTGTTTGCCAGATGTAAAGCGACCTGAGGCTCAAGGTGGGCAGAAGATAAATTCGCAGAAACAAATAAAGTCACTGACTACAAAATTTGGTGTTGTTGGTCCGTCTCGCCTTCCAGGCTGAAGTCTACATGACCCACCTTGTACCGGGGTCGAGATATTACAGGACATGGCTCGCAGTCGGCACCAGAGACGTGTCCGCTGTCGTCTTGCAGTCGGACTGCCTGTTTAAAATGTGTTTGGCGTTGGATTATCTGCAGGGCAATGGCTGATTATGACGCAAGGCAGTGAAAGTCGTAAGGAAGCTGTCTTGCCGATGCTGCTTTATCACTGCACGACAGCCAGCTGTTTGTGACAGTAAATTGTTGACAGGGTGTAGACGTATTGATTCTGAATGTTTGCTTAGGAGATTAAGGTATTATGATAGGTCTCTCTTCTATCTCTGTATTATTCTTCGTTCCTCAGGTCACCGCGGTTGTACGGTAGAGAAGCATCAGTTCAAATGGCTGATGTAGTGCTTTTGACGCTGATGATGAAGAAGGTTATAAGTTAGGTAATTCCTCAAAGCAGGAAGAGAGAGCACCAGGCGTGTGCGCGCTAGAACATGATCGGAATCCAGGAATGTGCTTTAGATGGACCGAGGGTCCTGGACTGATGTGTACAATCTACAGCTAACGGCGATATTGTCAAGTTGGGTTCAGGTCATTAATGGATCCGGTTGGCGCCAGAAGACAGGACATGAAAGTTTATGTTGGGAAGCAGCATTACTAACAGAACAATTGTGGTTGGCACACAGTTGCGCGGATCGATCGCTACTGCCAGCGTGCATAGACGCCGAAGCGGCTTCCCACGTATTTTTCAGTGTTATAGGTGACCTACTTGGGGATTCAAGATACCAGTAACAACTACGATGTCGGTACTTTTCGCAATACAGAGAAGAGGCAAAAGCCAGGGATAAAAATGGTATTAGATCCCTCCAAAATGCAGTCAGAAGGGGCAATGAAAGGGTATCTTGTCTTCAGAGGTTTGAAGTCGAGCCGCACACATGCGGATGTTCACCGGCATCCAGTCGAGTAGCTTGTCTTTTGCATGTTTGCTAAAGGTAATACCAACACCACAAATACCTTGAGCCATTGATTCATTATAGCCAGAGACTAGAAGAGTGTACCTATTGTTAGCAGATTCGAAAGCAGTGTTTTCCTCGACATAATGCTAGATGTAACTTATAGTGTCAAATATTGGCACTTGCTTAGCAGTGATGTAGTGCAAGAAAAGGAGTCTACCCGAGATTAAAGGAACCCCATTCTGCCTGGCTTGGAACTGAAAATATATACGTAAGCAACTCCTCAGTAGCCTCGCAGCTCGCTGACACAGCGCATGATACAAAATCAACTGACGTTCAAAATGATTTATCAAACCCACACCAACCGATCACTGTTCGTCAACAAGCGGATGTTAGAAGCCTCAAGCGAGTGCGACTGAGTTGTATGAACCGGGCTTTGCATCCAGAGAAAGATGGGTTGGGACTACATTGGCCCAGATGACGGGTGAATTCTGACGTGCTAAGTCATGTGGAAGTGGTTGCGACCTAAAAACGACAGCGACCGTCCGTATCCAAATGGATATCAATACTGTTTCTCACAGCCTTTCATACACACAAATGACGGACAAGGTTTTGTGAAAATGCCAAAATTATGGACACAGAAATTGCAAAATCTTACGGTACCTACAGCAGCAGGCACTGGATTAACTGCATTATCTAATCGATGAGCTTAAACAAGTAAAATTGAAACAGCGTGTAAATCTAGCTGAACCAAGAGAGATATAATTCATGCATTGTCTATACAACCGTTAATTAGTTTCATTCATTTACCTATCGGTTTGATGTCAAAAGTTGCATTAAGTAAATGTTGAAAAAACTCGCTCCACTAATTCCAATAGTGCAAACTAAGTTAAAGCAGCAACAAGCACTAAAATACCTTAAACTAACTCTGATGCATTAGGTTGTCGTCCGATTTCTTTTGGTTCCCAGTACAGTGAAATTACACCTTCAATAAATTGTTGCACAGTTACTGTGTGCAACGACGACCAGGCTCAGTTGCATCATTACCATCATTATGACACATAAGCTGAAGGTGGGAAACACATTACAGCCATTGTGCCGCAATACAAAAAGGACAACATGTGAAGAAGGAAATACAAAACATAAAAGGCATCAGCAGTACGCCGGTACGCAGCACCGTCGCTTCGCTGCTGCGCAACCACACCCAGTCGCACGTGGGCTAGGATACTGCGAGGGTCTCCCTGCCCCAAGGCAGGCCCAAGGCTTGGTATTGTATTACGCATCAACTGTGTGTTGGAGATTAGGGGTATATAAGCGGAATGGAGGGCGGAAACTTGCAACACAAACGCCATCGACGCCAGATCTTCGTCGTACCAACAAGCGTATCCAAGGAAATGAATACATTTGTGACAGAACGAAAGTTACATGGTTTGCTAAGCGGTAATGACTCACACCATACATAAAAAGGGGACAGGTCACGGCCAATAGAGGCCTATCTCAAACACGCAGGTAAATGTCACTCAATCACCTATGTCTGCACTCTAACACATCACACGTCTGTACCACGACCAAGCTGATAGTCAGAAAGAGCACCAGGCTACAGGACACACTATTCCGCACAGAGTACCACCTATTTCGCTGATATTGCGAGCCGGACATCGTTTTCGCGACAGTTGAAAGAGCAAGCAAAATCTAAAAGTATCACTGTATTGCATTTTATAGCCTTACTGAGCAGTTTAATTGATATACGGATCTTTCCTTGCGTCTTCTTTCGTTTCCAATCGCTATATAATAAGTGGTGGACAAAAAGTTAATTTTTACAACATACACTCTGTTGTAATTCGATTCCGCTTGAGTTACTGCTGTTTCTCTGCCTCACATTCTGCGTTTATTTTTAGTTCCACCCATTTTCAGTTTATGTCAGTAGAGTAGACTAAGACATCCGTAGTACGTCAACGCATCCTACCAACGGTTCACTGCCACGCAACCGTTACCAGTTGAACCTGGGGTGGGTATACCACGAAGTCACCCGCACCTCCGCAGACTCGAATTAGTAAGCTCTGGACTACAAGGCAGATGCTTTATCCTTTCGGCCACGGAGCAGTAGTAGAGTAGGTCTTCTGAAGTCCATTTTCTTATGGTTTCATTCGTTCACGTTCTGGTGGAGCGCCAAGAATACAGCTCGCTGCACCCGCATTTTATCTAGATATAAGCCTTACATAACGTGCAGATACAATGTCCTCTATGCACCGGTCCAATAAAGTACATATGTCAGTCAGGGTAACAGCCAAGGTTTTGGGTTACGTAAGAAACAAAAGAATAAAAAAATTAAACTTCCACTCGCTTAGTGAGGAAATCCCAAGACGGATGAGTCTTCATATGCCCGACTGTTAAGCATCCGTATATCCAAGTTCCATTTCAAAGAGCATCTTGTGAACAGGTGTCTAGTTGAAGTAACACCCTCTAACTTTATCAGCGGTATACTGCTCAAAATCTACTCCTTTTTGACTGCTCCATACCGTAAGTCCACGCAGGGATACTTCACTAACTGGACATGAGTTGAAAGGTGCGGAATTGATCCCAGGTGATCGATTTCTTAACTTGCAGTAGGTCGACGATATAGCCCTTAAATGTGACAGCACACTAACGTGTCAAGCCGCACTGGACAGATTAGTACTACCAATCGTTTCGGGATATGCTTCGCACCCTCGAAATGCGAAGCCCTTCTCAAAGGTTGCCAGGGACCCATCCATGTGCTGACGCTTGTTGGTGATCAGCTAGAAGTCATCAAATAATTCAAGTATCGGCAGTTATATTAGCACCGGTGGCATCAAAAATAAGATCACAAACCGTATGCTAAAAGCTCGAGGCGCTTTGGCTTACCTTCGCTACCTATGGCGCCGGTGCAACATCACTCTCGCCCTGAAAGACAGAATTTACAATGCAGCCATCCGTTCCACCCTTCGATACGGAGACAAAACCTGTCTCATCCGACAGACAGATGTGTAGAGGCTAATTAGGTTCGAGCATTGCTGCCTTCGTAGTTTGGCTCGTCTGGTGAGAACCTCGCGTGAGCAATGAGCGTGTTCAGGGACACGCATCTGGTGCAAAAAGAGCAAGTGAACCGCTCAGTACCTTTGTATCACGCACATCAACTGCGTAGTGCGTTATTTTCTGGGGAGAAAGAGTAGGGGAGGCCAAGCGATGAATTGATCAAGAGGCATGAAGACATTCCCTTTTAACTTAGCGTCGGTTGGTGTCTTCCGACTTCCCGGCTGGGGTCCGAAGGACGATTAACACGTTTGGTTGGATACATTTGTGAACAAAGTGACGGTGCCAATGGCGTTTGTGTTGTGAGTTTCTGTCCACCCTCCTACTGTGTATATTCTCCCTTCGACCACGTTCTCACGCCTGAGGCGTAACATGACACTAAGCACCCTATTACTCTTTTAGGTTTAAACTGCATTAGGTAATACGTTTGTACCGCGTTTTTTCCACATAATTTTTCCGTTTTGTATTGCGGTACGTTGGCTGAAGTGTGTTGATTACCTTAAGGTAAGGTTCAAAGATGATGATGAGAAAAAGGAGGATTACGTAAACGTTTGACTGCACCAAGAATACTTCTAGTTCACTCAGTGTTACTGTGTTGTGGATCGCCCTTGTTCGCTTCCTCTGTTCACGTCTCCTTAAGGCACCTAGAAAACGGTCAACGTTTCCCGACGTTTGGTTCTAGCACTCAAGCAAGTGCGCTGTTCCAGAGAAATATTAAATGTTAAAACAGACTAGAGGTCTGGAAATCCCCCCAGTTTGTTTGAGGTGCGAAATAGTAAACATATTCTTTAACAATTCATACATGTATTCGGTGTAGTGCGCTGCAACGTGTTGTATTTGTTTAATTGACCCATGAGCATCAAGCATGTGCAAATGCGCCACGACTGGAGTTAACATACCGTTCTTTTGAACGGCATTTCTCATCCATCCCTAGCTAACAAAAGTCGTAACAGAGTCATTCTAGCTGATACACGAGAACATTGAACACACTATAAATGAACATTAGTCCCGTCAGTTCCGAGGGTTCTCACACGCCAATAGCTAAAAGGATAGCAACGACTACCGGTAAAAGACGCTGCGAATGTGATGGATTGGCTTATAAAAATGAATACAGTTCAATAGCTTCAAAACACTGTTGCATTTTTAGATAGGTACCTACATTTAAACTTTCAGCAAACCATAATGACTGCGCTCACACACGTTCTTAATACTCTGATCATAGTGAGAAGTAGGATTAGGTTACTGTGATTTGCAAGTCGTGCCATTTGACAACGGTATCAAACTACTAGATAGCACGGTTACTACTTTTAAACTTGATTGAGCGGCTCATGTTTCCAAAGATTTAAATCATAATGCGGGAACGAGCACGCTTTGTGACAAAAGCTACAGACCTCATGCCTTACTTGTGTCTGTTTGTTCAAGTCCTGCACTAAACTGAATTCGGCATAGTTGCATGTCGTTCTTTTATTATCCTGATCAATACTTCCACAATGTTCGGTAGGCAGCTTATCTACCGATTTCAAATTGCCTGAGTTAACAGTAAAATATAATTGCGTGCTCTCAGACTTACAAGGCTTTCTGACGGCGACTGGTATTGTGTCGATCCTTTTGCCTTTGAGATTAGATGCGAATGTCTCAATAAGTTCCTAAAAGTTACAACATATGATGAACACATAGTATTACTTTGTGGTCCTCATGCTCCGAACTAATGAGACTCCTTAAACGTTCTCGGCGATCTAAAAGGTTGGACTCAGAGCTGCTGTTCTGCATATCAAAGGCCTGAATGCTGGATGTCATTACATGAAACATTAAAATGCTTCCGAACCTGGAATCGTAACACTTATTTGAGGTCCACAGTTTCTCTTTCATCGCTCTTACTGAAGAATTTTTCAGGTATTCTGTACGGCTCTGCCACTTTTCTAGGTTTTCGAGCTCCTGAGCCCTCTTTTTAGCTATCATGTTTTCCAGAAAGTCTTTTTTTGATGCTCTTCCAAAACTAAAAGCAAAAAGCAACACAAGCACGCTTTCGTAGGTAACAAATAATGACAGACGTTCAGGTAAACATGGCTGGTTTAAGCATGCTTTAGGTGTTTCACATAGCCTTACACAATCAAGAACTTACAACATGGTAATGAGGGTTGCGATAGAGCGCAACAACAATCGGCTAATCAACAAAACATTTGGATAACGAAGCTGACTGCGATTAGCAACATAGCTCAAAATCGCTTAAACGGTGCAAAATATAAGGCTCTAAAATGCGGCCTGTACACGACGAATCTCCTAAACTTGGTTGCGCGTAAATGCCGCATCTAACACTAACCTGCATGAACGTTGCAGTACCCCTTGCCATTGGTCCAAATAAATACGATAAGTATTGAAATTCATGCGCGCAATTTTCTATTGGTCTGCAGATATTACGGGAAAGCAAATTTTGTACTTATAGATTTGAAACCTTTAATTGTTAGCTGATTTACATTATAATTTGCGTTCGCTACGACTATATATAACATATCGTAGGGGGCCTAAATAAGTGCGGGACTTTTACAACACTCACACTTGGTGAAAGCACGTTTCACAGTATAATACAAATATCAAATGTGGGCCTGTGTTGGCGTATAGGCATCCAAAGCGCGTACCCTAGACTATTTATCCACTGAAAATGTGCTCGGAACCTAGTGATGCAACGCTCCCTGTTACACGAAATTAGCTGAGTTAAATATACCGCAAGAAACCAAAGTGACCAAGGACGAATAAATGGGAAATAAAAACACAAGAAGCTTACCTCAGTTGCACAGTATGAGACCTACGGATAACGAAAGCTTAACTACTACTTTTTTATAATGAGTAACGAAGTTCCAGCCCATCCATATTAAACAGGGTAAGCATTGTGAAGTCCACTTAGCATCATGAATCCTAGGCTCCTTTAGAAGTAGCCGCACGGTTCGCGTATTGCACATTCAAAACATATCAGTTTCACTCATTTGGTAGGATGGACCTCACTGTATCCCGTGTGCCCATCCTAAGTTAGCTGGGCGTGCACTATTTGCGTCTTACTAATTCGGACAAACAGCTACCTTCTTTCTTGTAAGCGCAATTCTCTACGCTCAAACTGGAGTGAGTGAACTTTGTCGCCTAAATTGCACCTTTATATGCAGCTTATGCGTTTCAACTGTTTGGGCATACCGTTTAGTACATTCACAATACTCACGTGGTCCTGTTTGCTTACTTAAGTTTCACGTTATTAGATAGGTTTGCGTGGTTGTCCTTAACCTGATCTCGAATCCGGCGTGTTATAGCATTCCTGGTTCTGATTTCATAGCAGTTCTAATTGTCACGGCATTAAGTCGCCTACCATATTGGTCATCAAGTAGTTACGTTTAGTGCAACTAAACTATAGAGTAGAGACTAACCTTGAACAAGTCGTGAAGGGCATTCCCAGTAAAGCGGGGTCCTTCGAAGTTGGCCTGTGCCACCATTCCCTTCTGCTGACCCTTTGATATATTCGATTTTTGTTTCACATCCATTATCACATTTGCTCTTTTTGTCTGGCTGCAATTATTACAAAGTTCACCCATAAGCACGAGCTAGTGAAATCGCTGTTTCCAGGCCCACAGGCTTGCTTTTTCCGACGGACACCGGATGAGAATAAATTGTGGCCAGTTAACATGGCGCGCAATAATCTAGCAAGAAGGAATCATCAGCACCAGTACACATTATCTGAAGGTGCTAAACTCACATAAACCATGGTGTCGCAGAACATCATTGCTATATAAAAGTAAGCATTCACCAAAAGTTGAGGATAGGCGACATACAGGCAGGGCGCTGCGTAGTTACATAGTTCGTTTCAACAATGTGGTCGTGGTTAGAGAGGAAGGCAAGCGGAGTGGGGATTTAGCTAGAAAATCAACACACAATAGCTATTGAGGTTGGCTCTTCGCCACGTCAACTAGTGTATCCAACCAAATGCCTTCAACACCTTTATGACCCCTGTCATGAAGTCCCGACAAACCAACCGACGCCAACTTTGCTGAACAATAAACAGTGAACAATGATTTATAACGGGTAAAAATGAAGGTGCTTGACATATCCGGTGGGGTGTTTAGCGTGACACAAAAATAGATCAATGGATAATGGAGTCGTCAGTTCGGGCGATTACAGGTTAACTACACTGTCGCATAAATAAATAAATAAATAAATATTTTATTCTCGACAAAGCGAGACACGCCTTTTGGGCATGATCAGCATATTGCATTATTGTACATGATAGCTGAATAAGCAGCACCAACAGTGGGAGTAGTACAGTTGGAGACAGTAGTGTGGGCCCATAGAGCCCAAATGTTGTATGTAGTCTATGTACACAGAATGCGAGAGGTAAAGATAGTAATCAGATCACTTATATGGTATGTTGATAAGGAACTAGTCCGATGAGGTCCCGTAAGCAATGTAAGTCAGTGAGTGAAGTATGAGGAAAAGGGGGAAAAATACTTAAGAATAGTGGTATGTCACTAATCAGATATGTAGGCGTGTTCGTGCGAGAGCCGATCTATACACAGAACTTGTAAATGTGATGTCGGTCAATTTGCCAATGTGTTAGGGGCGGCGACTTTATTGAGTGGCGAGTCACATCCGCCACGTCGCAGTGTTGTTAAACAGACATTTGTGGCTTTTTGTAGGGAAAACGCTTGCCAGACGAAGACCCACCACGTCCTGGAACACTGCCGGCAAGGGAAGCTGAACTGAGAAAGTACGCACACAAGGCCATAAAGGGAGTGGTTATTGATCACATAGTAGGTGAGGAAAAACTAAAAATATAGCGAGGATAACGCTTACTCATGTGCAACTAGCTTGGGTCGGCAGGATACAGAAATCCAGTTGCTACAGTAGCAGCGTTTATCAAATTTCGTGCAAGGGGTTTGGAGTTACTCATTCTCGAGTAAGGTTATGGCATTATCTACTGCCTGTTGTTCATTAGTGCCAGCATCTGGTAGTCGTGGGCTATAGTACGTGGTGTGAATGTGACAGAGGTGTCTTTTGAGAAGGGATAGGGTGGGTTCCTTAATTACATGTTCCGGGAGGGTGTTCCAAGGCTGTGACACTCGAAGGGAGAAATTGGTTCGCCGACATTCCAGACGGCTGTACTGCATGACTAACTTAACCTGGTGACTTCTTAGCGGGATGTTTTGACTGAGTATTAGAAGGGAACGGTATGGGTGGTTGGGGTTTCTCAGGATCTGGTACCCCATTATGAGATCGCCCCTTAGACGCCGCTAACGTCCACTGTATATTTTGAAGGTCTTCAGCCTGCGTGGGTAGGGGAGGCTGGTCAAACCTCTGACGCTCTTCGTTGCCTTACGTTACGCAGTATCGAGCGCGGTGAGATGGTTCTTGAGCCAGGTTTGCCATGCTTGAATAGCGTATTCCGCGTGCGGCCTCACGTACGCACTAAGCATTTTTAGAAAGGCTGAAGGGTCAAACATCCCGAAAGCTCTGTAAAAAAGGCCGAGGTTTCTGGTTCGCTTTCTTAGCTGCCTTTTCAGTCTGCCTTAAACAACCGACGTCGCCTTAAACTATCACGCCGAGATCGCACTCGTGAGGAGCCTGCTGTAGAATTCGTGCTCCTAGGCGGTTCTTGTGCATACTCTTGTGCCGTATGCTGAGTATTTGGTACTTGGTGCCGTAGAAAGGCAGCATGTTTTCGATGGACCATGTGTACACTTCGTCCAGGTCCTCCAGTAGCACCGTGTGATCCTCCACTGCAGCTACAGGACGCCATACGTTTAGGTCATCAGCAAATTCGAGAATAAACTATTTATTTATTTATTTATTTAAATAACAGACAGTTAGAAGATAGCACGCTCGCGAGATCATGTAGGAATACCAGGTACAGACGGGGTCCAAGTACCGAGCCTTATGGTACGCCGCGCTGAACTTCGCTGGATATCGGTAGGTTGCTTTACACCATCACATCCAGGTGATGTGGCACGACGCTGCACTCCAGAACAGGATCACCGATTCCGTATTTCTGGAGTTTCTGGAGTAGAATGCGATGGTCTAGAGGGTCGAATGCCTTTGAGAACTCCAAGTAGGCCACCCCGACTCCTGCACCAGCGTTCACAGATTCCGTCCAGCTTGTGCAAGCAATCAACAGATTAGTGGTACAGGAGTGATTTTGGCGAAATCCGTGCTGCTCCGGAACGAGAATTTTGTTGTTCTCCAGGTACCCCATCAAAGCCTCAGCTACAATGGACCCCATAACCTTTGAGTCACAGTAAGTAGTGTTATCGGGCGATAAGCTGCTGGTACAGTCTGACTGCCACCTTTGTAAATTGGAATGATGATTCCGTGTTTCTACATCGTGGGGACTTGCATCTCGTTCAGACATCGTTGAAAGAAAGTTGCTATTGGTCCTGCCAAACTCATGGCAGCAACTTTCAACGCCTTCGGGCGAAAGCCGTCCGCACCCGGGGAGCTGAACTCGCGCAGCGACATCAGCCTCTTCAGTACAGCTGCGGAGGTGAACGATATGTGATTAAGCCCTGATGACGGAATTATCCGATTAGGCGGGCTGTATGAGGATTGCACGCTTTGGAAGGTACGGCCAAATTGTTGCCTAAGAACGTTGGCCTCCTCTTACGCGGATTGGGCTAGTCCGCATGCTGTGTGCAGAGCAGGAATATCGCGCTTAACACGGCGCAACTTGTCTACGTGTCGGTATGGCAGTTTAGGATTGGAGCAACATTTTTCCACTAAACTTGTTGGTTCTTCAGTTTATCCTCCCGGACGAGTTTGACCCAGTGGTTTCTTTGTATTGTGTAAACATCCCAGATAGGGTGGTGTAGGTGTGTAGGTGTGCCATGTATCTACGTGTCCTGCTCCTTACGAAAGACTTCATCCTTTTAGACCGGCAGAGGTTGGTTTCAGATTTCCATGCCACGAGCTTGGTAAATAGGTTGAGGAATTCACCGCAGGCCACCTCAGGGATCAGTTCGGCCAAGAACGGTCAGCTGTTTGCATCAATGAGGTCGGCAGTTCGTCATAGTTGGTTACAACATGATATTCCTCAGCATGCTCTTTAGGATAATCCGCGTAGCACAGGTAATGAAACACTAGCGTCGGATGATCACTGCGGCCCGCAGGAGTACCGGCTATCACCCCTCGACTATCAGTTCTTCATTGGTGAATATTCGGTCCACTATGTATGGCCTGTCAGTTCCCCGGAACCTGGTGGGCGTAGCTACGTGGCCATAAAACGTGAAGTCTGAAACCAGATCTTGCAAATCTGCTTTGACTTGCTCTCCTGGAGTGGCCTGGGATT